CCATAAATTTTTCCCTTCTCATATCGCGGCACCTATAAATACAAATTTCTGCAACTAATTGGGAATACCAGAATAGGCGAAAGAGGAGAAATTCGAAGCGCACGCTCGTGAGTTGGATTTTCCCTTTGAATTTTGATATAATCATTTTTTCGAGTTATTTAAATATTATTGCGTCAGATTTCAGATTTACATTTTCAAATTTTTTCTCTGAACATGAAAAGAGTTTTCGAATGACCCATATGTAGAAACAAAATCTAATTCGTAGACTATGGTACCTAAACCTTGTTGGTTAATGTAGAGAAATAAATTACCTAGTTGAAGAATAATTTTGTTGATCTATAGCTGAAAGGGGCGCTGATAATAAAATTCATGAATAATTGATGATTTCGATTAACCTCTTCTTGGATGCCCGAATAGCTCATCTATGAGCAAAACATAAATCCAAACCTCATTGTTCTTGTACACACCAACCAGAATGAGAGAATGAGAGGGGGGCTGCGGGGGAAGGGGTGAGGGGTGAGGGCTGCAGATGGGATTAGGATATGAGTTGCGTGTTTTTTCGTTTTTCGTTTTTATTCTGTTTTGGTTTAGAAATTGTCTTATCATATTTGTGAAAATGAGTGGAACTCGTGAATTAGCGTACTAAAAATCTAACCTCATTACCTATTAATGCCCATCCATTTAAACTTGAACCTATCCTGTTGTCACCTCCTCCCAAGATCCATTTTGGATTTCATTTGGAGGATGTGAAATACAAGTTAAAGCTCGGGTATCATCAGCTGAACTTTAAGCGTCGGAGTCTGCTATAAGTGCATGCATATACGTAGGTAAGCTGTCAGTTGTAACAACTGAAAATTTCACTTGAGTTCGCATCAGATAACTTGAGGGAAGTATAAAAAATATTGAACTCAATAGGGTCGAAAATAAAGAAAAAAAGACAAACAAAATCATAGATATTTTTGTTAATATATTGAAGTTCATGCCTTGGGAAGTGGAAAATGAACATATAAATATTAAACCACACCCTTTTGTATATATTTTAGGGTGTGTTTGGGACACATTCTTTTGAAAGAATGTATTATTGAATAGTATATTGATGGATAATATGTGGTTAAAAATGAAGGAAAAGTTATTGATGTAATGGAAAATATTATTTTATTGAATAATTTGTGGTTGAAATTGAGTAGAAGAATGAGAATGAAAAAAATAATGCGTACCAAACAGGGGCTTAGTATCTTAGTATAAGAACTCCTAAGTTCTCCATCTCTGCGGAGGGGAACTCAATGACTACTTTTCTGAATCAGTACCGGAAAGCCCGAGATCCAAGTCAATACCGGAAAAGATCTCTTAATTCCTTGTGGCTGGTACATAATATAGTTTAGTATTTCGATACGTAATGAAAATTGTTCAACAAGTTCTTTGTGTTTATCTTGTTGCATGTGCCGTGTCTATGGATTCTTTCTGAGTGTGTCTATGTACTTCAGGTGCAAGATGTCATTGCTCGATAGAAAGTCTAGAAAATCTCTGAAACTGGTTCCTTTGTAGGACAATGGATGTTGCTCGTTGACAAGCTCTTGTGCAGGTTGGACCTTCTTCTCTAAAGCTAGACTGTGAATACTGGCAATTGACAAACGTCTTTTCACTGGATTTAAGGTTGCTTGGTGAACTGCACTCTTGTATCGACCATTGCTTAACACTTCCATTTGATCTCCCAACTGAACAACAAGGCCCCCTAGAATGACCGGAACAGATCGCCAGTTTTTATTGAAGTCCATGATTTCTAGACCATTATGTGTTTGCAGTATGATGGTTAAGAATCCATAGTCCGAGTGTGGCGGCAGTCCTAGTGCAAGATTTGGTTCGGGACATGCAGGGTAGCAATTTGCAGTCATTACTTGGAACCCTTGCTCAATGTCTTTCTGTAAGTAATCTGCTCTTAAGCCCAAGCTCTCAAATATTACTTCCATCAGCTTTACATTTAACATGTGCACGGCTTCTGCATAGTCTCCCATTTTCTTCCTGCAGGGGAACTTTAATTTAGACCTTCGATAGTGTCAATATATAAGTTCAATGAAGATGGTAGTACGATATGCATTAAAAAATATCTTACAAGAGTCATTTGTAGGAGTGTTTGCCATAAACTAAAGCAATATTTTATTGGGATTTGGCTTTGTAAAAAAGGTGTGGTCGTTACCTCAAAATTTGTTGGTGAAACTTAAATATTACTGTTTTTGAATTGCTAAGTTTTCTCACCTGTAACTGGGAGGATTTGAAGGCCACAGGTGTACCCAACTTGATATTGGATGACAGTAGTGTTTGATGAAGTCTCTCCAGAAATAAACTTTATCTTTGACTAGATTTAGGCTGGTTCCATACCTTACAGGTTCGTGTATATTATTAGATGCAAGATGCATCTTTGATTCCTTAGGCAAATCAAAGAACTCTGCAGCGGTGTCTACTGCATCACTTATGACTGATAATGGAATCCCATGGTTAATCACCTGCAAAAAATGTAATTTCTGAAAATATTGAGGATATGATGGACGTATACAGTCTTTTACATTTGGATGTAAAAAATTTCTGTGTTTACAGTCTCTTTCCAAATCATAATCTACAGATTTCGCTGCAATTTGGCTTCCAATGTTCCTATAGCTATATTATATAAGAAGCTCCAAAGTATGCATTGATTTATGAAGATGAGAATGGGATGGATGTTGTATGAACTTCTATAACATATAATAAAGATGCATGGTGTATAGTCACAATAGATGTTGCCATGTCAAACTATGTGCCAATATTTCTACGTAGAATCCTGGCTTCTTTTCGATCCTGTTTCCTGCCTCACCCACACGCTATATTGCGTAACTAAATCAGCCAGGGGACTTGTTTAAAAATCTTCACGGTACATTATACATAGTAGAATTGCATGCTTTGGATTCTTATCTATTATAACTATTGATGCACGAGTATACCTGAAAAAAACCAAATTCCTTGCAGGCAAAGCTTACTTGCTTGATTAGCAGCTCTCTAAGGATTGAGTTTTCTAGCATAGATAAATCTATGACAGGCAAATCTGCAGTTGACGAAGGTAGATTTTGGCTAATGTTAGGGCGATGTTCCGGTGGAAGAATATAACAATTGGGAACGCTGCTTATTCCCATTTGAGCAAGTTCCATTGCGTTTGTAAATGAGCTATCCGAGTTCCCCATTTTCTCCATCACTTTCTTTTGGTGCTTCTCGGGTTCCTCCACCTCCAACGTTATGCTCATTTATACTGGTAAACTCCATTGATTTCATTATTAAATTTTTTTGTTTAATTGTACAGTTACTATATATTAAACTAGTTGTGTACAAAGTCGTCGACATCTTCTCAACTTGCAGCACATACTGGGGGCTTCAAAGGATCTTTTATTTCATTGCTTAGGGGTGAAAAAAAGGCTAAAATAGTTAAGAAAAATTAAACCAGGTGACATGAACAAGTATGAAATCTCATGCATGAACCGTTTGGGATCCACAAAAAGGAAACTGGAGGCTGTCTTGTTTTCAGTTCAATTGTTTTGTGCAAAGTCAATGTAACGTGAAATAACTGGAGGCTGGAAAAGACAAATATTTGATCAAGTGGGTTTAATTAATATATTATTCTTATTGTACTATTTCTTTACTAGTAAAATAGGTAATTTCTTTCTTTCTTAATTTATGAAGTTAAGTTTTATCTTTTATCAAGCAGGGAAGATAATTAATTATAATTAGATTTTGACTATTTTTTAAAATCTATGAAACAAAAACATTTCTAATTATAAAACCAACGGTATGCAAACTGGTTTGGCCTTTTCTAAAACAAGCCGTGGAAGTGTTGAGCCGATTTATTTATTTATTTTTTATTCATCTTGTTTCATGTATTCCTCTGGGAATTTGTACCAATTGACTACAAAAAAGAACAAGTTATTAGATTCTATACATATATAATGTATGGAAAAAATACATAATTATCATAGTTTCAAGATGCACTTTTGCAATTAAGGAACTTGATGAATTCTATGAAAAATCATTTTGGGGTCTGTGATAAAATTTTGGGACCTATATTTAATCAAAAAGGTTACGGTCACAATGAACGCACAATTTATCTAAGAAAAAGTAAATTACATATTCTCTGTTTGAGAGTGAATTTTGTCGGGGCTTTCTTCATTACTTTCTTCTCCCTTTTATACTCTTTTGGGCAGTTCTCAACCGTTTGGATTCTGCTCGTAACTACCAATTTCTTTNGGGATGTAATCGTGATGTGCTCAAACTGTCTCGAACCGTGACTTTTAGATAACCGCAGGGTTTAGTCCTCGTTAGGATTCTGGGCGATCCAGCAATTTGGGCGACGACTCCTTCGCTCTGGGCGTCCATAGGGCATTTTACTCTCTCAACATCTGGGCGTCCATAGGGTATTTTATTCTCTCACATCTGGGCGTTCTGCAAACTTGAGCGACAACGCTCCTTTGTTTGTGGGCTTCTTACCCTTTATTTGGGCTTTCATCTTGGATTTTCAACTGGGTTTCGCTCTTTGGGCCATTTAATTTGGACTGCACTTTTAGTGTGTCAACACTTTTCCTCCTGTTCCTCTAGCTGGTGCTCCTGCTGGATCGCCCGCTTCTTCACCGTCTATTGCTTCCGCTCTAGGCAATGTTGTTCCTGGTCCATTTCCCAAATCAGTTTCTTAGATTCCATGGAGCAACGTCAACGCTGGGCTCATCCGAGAGAGTCGCTGCGTTGCTCACTGTCGGCAATTATTCCATAACCACCGTTGTTTTAAATTAATTTTGAATATGTGGTTTAAATTGATTTCAGTTCGACTTGGGATACTTTTCTGGTTTTACTCTGATTTTGCATTTGTTTAGCTTTAGTTTGAGTTGTCAATTAGATGTGTCAATGGATCTGTTTTCTCAAGTTTGAGTCATGTAGATGGTAGTGTTGATAGCAATTGTGGTGCAGTTGGTGGTACATGCAATGGTGTGGCGGTGGTGGGTTGGTTGTCATCATCATCGTCGTTACGATGGCTTGTTCGAGAGAGTGGTGAGGTGGTGGCCACAAGTGGTAGAGGTGGTTGTGTGATCTAAGAATTTGTTAAGTTGTGATCAATAATTTGATAATTTGTGACCTATAAATTATTTTCACCAATTAATTTTTTATTTTGTGATCATGAAATAAGTTGTTATAAAATTTGTGAATTGTGAGCAAAGAATAATATGTGACCTACTAATTTTATAAAATTTTGATCGAAAAATAAGTTGTTACCTTTGAAATTTGTTATTTGTGATTGTGAGGTCTGTAATTATATTAATGCAGAATTGTGACCAATTATTCGATTGATTGTGACAAATAAATTAGTTAATTTGTGACCATAAAGAATATGTGACCTAAAAAATGTAATTGTAATTCACAATTTATTAAGTTGTGGTCGATAAATAACTTGTAATCAATTAATTTGGTAATTTGTGACCGATAAATAAATTGTGGCATGTAAATTTTTTTATTTGTGTGCGAGAAATAATTTGTGACTAATTAATTTGATAATTTGTGACTAAATTGCATGATATGTGGCCTTTATATATTTAATTAATTATTTCATAAATCAAATGTAATAATATCTGATTTTTAAAGTTTTAAACCTTATTTCTTAATTTTGAAATGGGTTATAGTTAATCTTTTAGATATGAAATTTTCCCTTTCAACTTCTAGGATCCAAATCGTTTCTCATAAAATTTCACAAATGCTTCATCTTATAGTAGAATCGGTTTAGAGTAACTCTCTCCCTATTTAGTGACTCCGACCCCAACCACAACTTCGCCTTTTGAGTCTCTTGTCTTCTCCTCCTGTTCCTCTAGCTAGTGCTCCTGCTGGATCGCCCGCTTCTTCATCGTCTATTGCTTCCGCTCTAGGCAATGTTGTTCCTGGTCCATTTCCCAGACCAGTTGCTTAGATTCCATGGAGCAACGTCAACCCTGGGCTCATGATGCCTTCGGTGGCGCTTGCGACACCGTTGCATTGACGTTGCTTTGAGAGCACCGCTGCGTTGCTCACTATCGGCAATTATGACATAACCATCGTTGTTTTAAATTGATTTCGAATATGTGGTTTAAATTGATTTCAGTTCGACTTGGGATACTTTTGTGGTTTTACTCTAATTTTGCATTTGTTTAGCTTTAGTTTGAGTTTTCAATTAGATATGTCAATAGATCTGTTTAGCTTGAGTTTGAGTTGTGTAGATGGTAGTGTTCATGGCAATTGTGGCGCAGTTGGTGGTACAAGCAATGGTGTGGCGGTGGTGGTGCAGTCGTCGTGATGGTATTTGGTGGTGGGTTGGTTGTCATCATCATCGTCGTTACGACGGTGTTGCAGTGGTACTGTTAGAGAGAGTGGTGAGGTGGTGGCCAGAAGTGGTAGAGGTGGTTGTGTGACTTAAGAATTTGTTAAGTTGTGATCAATAATTTGATAATTTGTGACCTATAAATAATTTTGACCAATTAATTTGATATTTTGTAACCATGAAATAAGTTGTTATAAAATTTGTGAATTGTGAACAAAGAATAATATGTGATCTACTAATTTTATAAATTTGTGATCGAAAAATAAGTTGTTACCTTTAAAATTTGTTATTTGAAATTTTGACGCCTGTAATTATATTAATGCAGAATTGTGACGAATTAGTCGATTAATTGTGACAAATAAATTAGTTAATTGGTGACCATAAAGAATATGTGACCTAAAAAATGTAATTGTGACTCACAATTTCTTAAGTTGTGATCGAGAAATAACTTGTAATCAATTAATTTGATAATTTGTGATCGATAAATAAATTATGACCTGTAAAATTTTTTATTTGTGTGCGAGAAATAATTTGTGACTAATTAATTTGATAATTTATGACTAAATTGTATGATATGTGGCCTTAATATATTTAATTTATAAAATATATATTTAATTAATTATTTCATAAATCAAATTTAATAATATCTGATTTTTGAAGTTTTAAACTTTATTTCTTAATTTTGAAATGGGTTATAATTAATCTTTTAGACATGAAAATTTCCCTTTCAACTTCTAGGATCCAAATCGTTTCTCAAATAATTTCACAAATGCTTCATCTTATAGTAGAATCGGTTTAGAGTAACTCTCTCCATATTTAGTGAACTCGACCCTAAGTCCCTAACTAGACCGGTCAAGTTGACATGAACTCAATGTTCATGATTTTCTCCGTCTTCTCTCTAGACTAAGAACCGTGTTTCGTGGCCTTGTTTCTTCATTCAATCTCTTCTACAATTGGACCGAAAACTGAAAATGAAGGGAGCGAAAACTCTTCATCTTTAATTGACTAAAGAAATGTTCTCTTGTAAAATAACTTATTTTCATTTGTTCTCATTATTTGGTCCATAAATAATTTCCAATCTATATATTTATGCATATTCCTTTGTTGGAATGGGGCCTTAGTTTTGTGTTTCTTTGTAATAATGATAGGTGGATCATCATGCCAAACAAAATCCTGTCTTTCTTGGCTAGGCATGTCATTGGATCTCTTAGATTTCTCATGATAATGTTGCATTGGAATATCTAAATNTCGGGTTTTTTTGCCATCCCTACTGAGAACAATGTTTCGTGGCCTTGTTTCTTCATTCATTCTCTTCTACAATTGGAACGAAAACTGAACATGAAGGGAGCGAAAACTCTTCATCTTTAATTGACTAAAGAAATGTTCTCTTGTAAAATAACTTATTTTCATTTGTTCTCATTATTTGGTCCATAAATAATTTCCAACCTATATATTTATGCATATTCCTTTATTGGAATGGGGCCAAAGTTTTGTGTTTCTTTGTAATAATGATAGGTGGATCATCATGCCAAACAAAATCCTGTCTTTCTTGGCTAGGCATGTCATTGGATCTCTTAGATTTCTCATGATAATGTTGCATTGGAATATCTAAATAGGTAGCACATAAAAACCACTCGACTTGTTTGATAAGGTAAACTGTAGGAATCTAAATTTTCGTTCTTCGGTGGATAAAAATACTCGACAAACTTTATTACATGTTTGTTTTCGTTAATCACATCTAACTCTATAAGCTACAATATATGAAGTATGGAACGAGATTTACCAAGTTGATTGGAATAGGAGGGTGAGTTCTTTGGCTCCATGCCCAACAAAGTATGCTCCTTATCTCTTCATGTTCCTCACCCTTCACTATATTTCGTCCATACAATGCCTACACAGACGTGTTAGGGATCAATG